TTTTCTTAGGCCATTGCGGAGTGTTTTGAAATGTTACACGTCGGTTGTTCAGTAGTTTGAAGGTTTAATGGCAATTTTAACGCTGAGTGAGCCGTACGGCATCCGTCTAACAATGTGGCCGCTATTCCAGAAGAAGCAACTGCTACCGCAATTTCGGATCTCGCTCGTACAGTGGCCAAAATTAATGACATGACATGTCTTTCCAGTTCCACCGGGGGCATCCAGAAGAAATAAGCCACCATTTCCATCATCAATTGCATTAATCAATGTATCATAGACCTTCCCTCTGTTTAGGATTGTTCAAAAGTGGTACATTCGTTTGAACTGATTGGACTAGTTCATGTGGATCATATTCACGTTCACGTTCTAGTTCTCTATTAAATGCGTCATTCATTCCGCGATCTGGCGCTAGCATTCCTAGCCTGACTAACAAACTGCCGCACATGAGGTAACACATATCTTCGATCAAGAGCAAAGCCTGGTTATGCTCTCTCAATTCGCCTGAACTTGTGCTGACACGAATTCGATGTAAAATGTCTTCTGACATGTTATCTTTGTATTTGTTCCACAGGTCTCGTGGGTTCGATGGGAAGCATGTCGAAATGATGATAGCAAATAATGTGCGTATCTGACTTGGAGATGCAGAAATAATTGCTTCAGCGATTGTCGTGTCCCAATGAGTATCGTTTTCAAGCAAATTGAGCTCTTGACATGCTGCACGAAATGTGGGGCACATTATACCATTAACAGTTCGTAGTGATTCAAAGGATGTTGGCCCTCGAACATGTACCAGCAACAACCGCAAATAGAAACATTCATCATTCTTCGGATGAACTGTGTAAATACGACCAAGAGCATCAGTAGAACGCATATCTAGATGACCAGGAACTGCATCGCCTTGCTTCCGACGTTGAAATTTCTTCGATGTAGCGTTCCAAGTGTAATAACGTGGCATCTCCGAGTAAAGCAACGTTCGTGCGAACGGATCGCTTTGACAAATCGCAAAGAAACTGGTCAATGTTGTCGCTGGAGGTCTTTCGGCACGTTGAACAGCATTCGACGCTGTGAAATATACTCTCTGACCGTTCTCTAGATGCACCCCCAAATGCACAACAGTGGGATGACGTTCGTGAATAGGGAATGAGAATATACGCCAAATTGCTTCATTGCTGTTCACATATCTACCAACTTGATAGCACGTAATTTCATCGTTGGTATTGGATGCTTGGATACCAAAAACCGCCATGTCGCTGCCTTTCGTGACATATTTGCAAATGTATTTAATTGACTTAACCGAATCGCAATAATCAACATTACAATGTGCCTTGAATGTTTTGGAAAGAAGTGGTGAATATGGAACAATCCAACTGTTGTCGACCACGAAATCCTCTCCTTTCACTTTAGTTGTGATAGTTCTACCATTATCATCTGGCGATCGACGCCGATACACTGGATAACCATCGTTGCCGGTGATGGTCTCTGCCGTCAATTTTCGTGGATACCGTTTGGAACACTTGCCGTCGACCATGCACGGTGATTGGCGGTTAATAGTGCCACACGGTCCATGAATCATATTCGTGATTACAACCTCATGTAGGTCTGGATCGGTTTCAGGATCAGGAATCTCCGCACATATGATGTCATCTATTTGATCTGGCCGAATTCTTTCGACTAACCAAATTAGAATGTGTGCATGCGGCAAGCCTCGTTTTTGCCATTCGATTGAATACATCCAGCATCGAGTAGTTCCAAAGACGTGTTGCTTAACAATGTGATTCATCACCGATTCATGACCGGATTTTTTGCTTGAAAACACGTGCGGTGATGTCGGGCCGATCACTTGATGTTTGTCCGGGAAGCAGCAGTTGAATAATATCCATCCATTTCGGATTACATGTAAATGTAATGAATAGATCTGGCCTGGACCATAATGACGAACATATGTCATTGCATCTTGCGCATATTCATACATATGACGCGGGCTACCTGTGTATGTAGCCGATAAAATAGTCAATCGACCAACATTTTCTGCATCTCCTTTTGTGCTAATTGCATCGCGTAAATGGATATACTCTTCCGAACGTAATTTAGCTTGGTTCAACCGAATGAAAGTCAGGCGCTCCGTTTCGATTTTAACGTACATGTCAACGCAATATTGTTGAAGCAGTCGACGAAATCGCAACAAATAATTGTCAGAATTTTCACGAATCATCAAACGATGTGCGTAATAATTCATCGAACTAACCTTCTTGGTAGTTTCCTCACCTGAAACAAATATAGTAAAATTTGTATTTTAGAAGAAAAATCCATGTCTGTATTCCTTGAAGGGGTAAACAGAATGTCATCACTAAGTTTTGTTCAATATTTTCTAAACCAACAACCCCTAATAGGGTTAACGACTCTTACAACTACTCTCTGCTAAATTAGGAGTGACAACTTTTTATGGTTACCAAAAGCAAACAGAATAAAATGTATATCAAGTTAAAATGAAAACTATGACACTTACCATTCAATGGATTCATCATTTTGATATTGAAGATCGTTTCCTTGCCAAAACATCAGCGGGTACTGTAATGCGTCATATGAACGGTGTGTTTCATATATTTTTGTAGTTGCCCAGTATTGCGTCGTGTAAGTACAATATCACGTGTTTCTAAGTTTTCACCAACAATCAGGATTGCCACTTCATCAATTGTTGGAGCATTAAATGTGCGTTCGTGTGTTCCAGCTGGTCGTTTATCTGCTCTGATCACAACTTTTTAATCATCACTTGGCATGCGCTCTAAGGCAGTCTTGAACAGCCTGACCAATGCATGATGTTCATGAAGCAGTTGTTGCAGATCTTAGAGAATGGCTCTTTTTGTAGCTGTGTTGATCCCTTGACGCCGGTCAAGTTGTTCTTCCATATTGCCCATGAAGTATATTTGCAAGAATTTATGCTGTACATCTTCATGAGGTTGCAATGATCCAATGCGATGGTAAATCTGGCCTTGAATCTGTAAAGTCGAAGGCATAGTTAGATTTACAATTATTATTTTTTTCATAATGATAACATGCCATTTTTATTTTAGAGACAAATATAGAAATCTAACAAACTACATTCCAGCAATTACCTTAAATGTCGGATTATATCTGTGTTCTTCGATAATTTCCGCCCCAAATGAAGTCATTTGAAAACAGATATTGTATTTTTGAGTGTTCGCTAGAAAATGTCGTGATTCTGGAGTTTCGCCATTAAGCAAGGAAAACAATGGCTCTGGTGGTGGAACCAATAATGACAATTTCACTTTACCACTAAGGCAGCACAAACCAGGCGTTTCACCAGTAAACTTCAATGCGCCACAATGCTGGCAAACAACGTCCATTGGACCAATGCAAACTAAACGATGCAAGCTGTAGTCGATGGTGAAATCATATAGAAACGCTGCTCAATTCAAATCAACGCTTGAACCATTTCTTCTTGCACGTCGAAGATTATCCCTCTGTTGATCTGTACAATAAGCTCGACGATTTCTCGTTTCTAACCTAGCCGTTTCACGGGCTGCCTCTCTTTCCTCTTGTGTTTGAGTGGCACGAATTAAAGCCCTTCTTCGCTCCATACTAACGCGGCGCTCTTCTCGTGCAATGTCTCGTTCTTCATCAGATAATTTACTCGCGATGTTCCGTTGCCTAATTGCAGTACGGCTTCGCTGGGAAAGATTAGATCTTCTAGGACGTGACATTGTTACTAATACTAATACTGAATATGTACTCGCACAAAACCACACAAAACAAACAAATATAACAGTAGCTGAACTTTCGTGACATAGACATTGATTGACAATAGTTTAGATCATAGACTACTACTTTGGATACTGCACTTTTTAACCTTTGTAATTATATATCTTAGAAAATCATAGACAACATAAAAAGACATTTACGCTTTCGATAACTTAAATAACAAATCTTAGAAATTGTTTTCGAAAATAGAAACTTTAATTTACGCAAAATAAAGTTATGAACGCACGCGTAAATGTTAACCATTTGTCATTATTTCTGAACGCAGGCATAAATATTTGAGGAACTTCCGCATATTACAAGAACTTACAAAGCTTTCTTTATCACACTCTCCCTCCATTAATGTATATGCTCTAATTTAAATCTACTTAATACACTTTTCAACCTTTTTAATTGATTAAAAAAACACAGACAAAAGTTTATTCACCCTTTTTAAATAGTTTACACAAAATACATTTTTGAACGCATGTATCAATCACAGTATTTGACAGGATGATAGGAGGAAAACAAATGTTTGACAGGTATGAAACAAAGGAACATAATTAAATGGAAAATGATTCATTTCCATAATTATGTATTCGTCAAGTTTTCATTGTTTCTAAAGTATTCTGCTATTCAGGGAGGAGACAAATCCAACGAAACAAAAACCATGAAAATTGATCCAGCCGATCTCGAGTTATAAGTGTTGTAACAAACCCGTCTTTGTTTTATATATATATATATATATATATATATATATATATATATATATATAGATAGATATGGAAATATGGATACGGAAATTATTTTAAATATATAATCAATATTTTTCCTCACTGTAATGTTTCAAGATAACAGACATATACATAACTGCTTCCAAAATGTGTAGCTACCTGAATTTCTACCATACAACACATTCCATCTACTCTCAAGCTCTATACAAATAATGTCCACTGTTCTAAAACAGATTTCACATCAGTCTTCACTTTATCATATTAAAATAAGCTGTGATTGCAACTTTATAAAGAACTTGCTCATGGTTAGTAGTTTCTAAACAATAAACTGATAAACATGGGATTTCCATTGAAAATTGTAGTGCCATTCATTTTACACCTTTAATCACATATCTATCAAAGTGTACCACACTTATTTTTCACTTCCCTTATTCAACCTCTACAACACATATCAACAACGTAGACAATTACGTTTGTAGATTGATATTAATATAGATTTTTTGTTAACAGAGGATGATGGAGAAGTTTTCAAAGTAAAGAAATCATCACAAAGCAAGAGGCTTGCTAAACGACGGGAGAAGGAGAAACGTCGTGTCCCTGATGGTGATATTAACAAATATGACAATAACACAACTGAGGTAATGGTTACATTATGCAAACAGGGATTGTTTTTTTATAAATTATACCCCAATAACTACAACCACACAACTACTGCACTAAAAATAAAAACCATTTATTTAACTACAAACATCACAAATTAAAAATATGTTTATATTGCGTACTATTAGTAAATTTCCATAGTATATTAAAATATGTATAGGTAATAGTTTAACTGTTTATATTTTATGTAATGCCCATGTAACACGCAAAATTTATCTAGGAAACGCCACAGACAGAAGATGCAGAAGAGAAGCAAAAATCAAAGAAAAAAGTCACACTTGAGGGACTTATTTTATCCGGCCGTGAAGCTTTAGCCGCGGATGGGGCCGGTGATATCTCAGATGATGATGTGGAGGAAGAAGATGAGGATAGTAGGGGGTTCCATCGATACCGCGCGGAGTCAGTTCGCGCGGCGCTCGCGCAGCCGGGGCACATCCCCGACGCGGCGCTCATCCACGCGGCGCGCAAGACTCGACAGCAGGTATGAGAGGTGAGGGACTAAGAGATGGCCGTCACCGACGTCGATATTGTTCTTTGTCCTCATGTCAGAATTTTAGATCCAGAACTACGGTTTTGAATGGAAATGGCGCTGAATTACTCAATTTTTCTTGATTGGCTTTTGAAAGGTAAAGTTTAAAATAAAGAATTAAAAAGATGCTTGAAGAAACTAACACAATAAATGTGTTAATTAAACAGTAAAAGATTAATGTGACTAAAATAAATAATGTAGGCCCAAAATTAGCTCCTTGCGGTACTCTTGTTAATTTTAAATAAAGATAACATGTTATATTGTATATCTTCACTTTTATGTTTTTTCTCTTTTAAATTTGTTTGTTCTTCTAAAGTTTTCATTATCAAAAGGGGGAAAACTTGTAAATATTATTCTATCGTGCATATCTTTGCTTGTCGGCAATTCAAAATAATCCGCAATTTAATTAAGACTAAATATTTTTATGAGGTGAATTGTATGTATTCTAATACAAAACTACGACTTTCAGGCGCGTGAGCTAGGCGATTTCGTTCCGATACAATCTGAAGCTACTCCTGGCTCGCGGCTCATACGCGATGATGGTTCTGGCGATGATGAAGACGAAGATGGCAGGATACAAGTCCGCGGCCTAGAATTACCTAGTGATAAGCCCAAACGTAAGTATACTATTATGTTGCTAGTAGGTCCTAGCCGATTTTAGTGTACCATCTATAAAGAGGCTTCAGCGTTACCAGAAACTGGCATGTACGACTCCCACAGGCTGCATAAGAACTACACCAACAGCAGTTTCCCTCATACATGTATAATTGATAAAATTTACTCAAAAATTCCTATCTAACAAGCCAAGTATGATAAGATGCCAAAACAATTTGTATTTCAATAAGAAGTGTAAGATACAATTAAATGAAACCGGCCAGCCGGCGAGATTAAGGCCAAGAGAGCTTAGAGTTTTCATTGATGGTTCTAAAACAAATGAAGGTGTAGGATCTGGAACTTTCTCTGAAGGACCTATCCTATCCATATAATATGTACACCGCTGGGTACCCATAACACAGTATTTTAGGCGGAATGTAATGTAAAATGTAAAAGACTTCTCCGTCAGAATACTGACCGACAGTATGGCGGTACTACAAGCTCCGAGTTGTAATGTGGTGAACTCGGGACTAATATATGAATGCCATCAACAATTAAATGAGATATGTAAGCACAACAATGTGACTCTGCAATGGATAAATGGGCACAGTGGATCCAGAGGCAATAATGCAGCAGACAAACTGGCCGGAAGAGGATCGGCTCTGGCCACTATAGGGCCGGAACCAATAATACTAATCCCTTTTGGTAATATTTGTTCACTGGTATGTAGAAACTTCACTAATCTACATGCTCAGAATTTGGAAAAATCTAGTAAACTGTAGGCAAGGTAAGGAGGCCCTGCCTGAAATAAACAGTTATCTTATAAACAGTTATATATTGACAGTATAGATAACTAAAACAAACAACCAATAGTGACATTTTACAATATGTTATATAACTAAATAATAGTAGAGGAGTGAACTTGGATAAATTGAACACCAGTTGCAATCTTTATATTACATGTATTAAAATTGTTATTAACTCATCAAACCATGCAACAGTATAATACAAATAATTAATATACTATGTTTTCGTTATCAATTTCCATGATGCAACCCTGAGTCTAAAAGATCAAATACTTAGGTACTGATTATAACTATTGGAATTCATGAGCACTTGTGACTTTAACTTGTTGTAAAGACGTACCTACATACGTTCAATGTGTGCTTTCGCATGCTAAAGTGAACACAATGGGTGTGTTTGGCAGAAAAAAGCACTAGCAAGCGCTTGTAAGCAAAATGGCGAAACTAAACAGTTTTCGGCCAGGACACCTTTGCTAACTTCAGTAGCGCTGACACAATCCGCCATTTTGCTTATTTACTTTGTTTGTTTTGAAGTAGAGTTTATAAGTTTTGTGCATATAGTATAATATTAGTTTTAAGTAATATAATGACATGAATAAACATATACAAGTTATTAAAAATTCATGATTGGTAAGTTTTTAATATGAATACTTTACAAACATATATTTAAATTAGGTTAGGTTCCCCGGTTAAAACTAACTTCGTGTCCTAAAGGAAAATAGCTACTTACGATTTGACAGCGATTACCGCTTACGATCGCCATTTTGCTTACAAGCGCTTGCTAGCGCTTTTTTCTGCCAAACACACCCAATATTGCAACTGACCGCTCCCACGCACACTACTACAACTTGCATGTATACAGCTAACCACAAGTAATGATCACGCGCGCTCGTGTATTGTAGGAACTGTATAACTATTTACTTTTTTGAACAAGGATATTTGTAAAGTAAATTAAATATCAATTATTAATTCTATAGGCGGCACAGCTGCAGCAGCCTCTGAAGAAGAGCTTGACAGTGAAGTTGAAGAATGGGAAGAGCAGCAAATGCAGAAAGCAATGCCTGCTATCACAGATATTGCAGGTAACATATAGTATGTTTTGTAAAGAGTAAAAGTTAAAAATAGCTTTATATATTTCTGTAAAAGTAATCCTAATTTGGATTTGTTGATTGAGTGAAACTACATACTTCTTTTTTTTTTACGGATTTTATTGCATTATCACTACTTATCGCCTGGTGGGATGCAGTGCCATACCATTCATCAGGCTAAAAGGAACTTGCTTGCGCGCGAAGCAGGACAATTAACTGACAATAGTTGGCGCGTATATCGTGATTATATAACTCTACCAAGTTCCAAACGATATTTTCACAATTATTTATTCTTCAGTAGCAACGCGTCGGATACTAGCTTATAGAATTTAGAAATTTGCATGGCATAGGGTCATTGAAATTGCAACCAAGCAAATTTCAAAAAGAAGCTTTACACAGCTGCGTAGCCATGCAAACGAGGGTTAGGGCGTCGACACGGCGGAAGGTGGAGGACGGAGTGCAGAGTTGGCACGTGGAATGTTAGAGGGAGCATGAGAGATAAGACGAATGAGTTGATCGAAATAATGAAAGAAAGAGAATTAGATGTCGTGTGTATGTCGGAGACCAAACGGAAAGGCAATGGTACTGAAGAGCTCCACGGCGGGACGTTAGCTATATGATCCGGAGTCCCGGAATCGAGAACGCCTGCCAGGGAGTGGGGGTGCTGTTGTCATCCCGGTTGGTCGATCTTATGATTGAATATAAGGTTATGAACTCAAGACTTCTCAGGGTTCGCTTTAAACTGGGACTGACGAAGCTATTCCTTTTGGCTGTTTATGCGCCAGTAGCTTCTCGTCCAGGGCTGAGCTGGAGGAGTTTTGGGAGAATGTAAGAGAAGTTCTAGATTTGGTTAAGGGAAACGAAAGAACTGTTGTATGTGGTGATTTGAATGGATGCGTAGGTATCGCTCGACCAGGGTACGAGTCGGTTCTTGGAAAGTTTGGCGATAAAAGGGTTAATGATGCTGGCAAGCTTATACTGGCTGTATGCAAGGAAAAGGGTCTTCTTGTGACAAACACTATGTTTAATCACAGGAAAATCCATATGTACACTAGAGAAAGAAAGAATGAGAGAAGTATGATTGATTTATTCCTGGTGGATGACCGACTGCGAAAACAGGTGATGGATACACGAGTGTTCAGAGGTGCTGAGTGCTGACCTGGAAACGGATCACTATCTAGTAATTACTAGATTTAGGGGTTTGTTCGCGGGTTGGCGCTACAGGACGGCAGTAACAGAACCACAGTCGGTCTGTCGCATCCGAAGCTGGAAGCTTCAGGAAGCGCATACTAAGGGCAAATATCACACGAGGGTAGCCGAAAAGCTTGACACCATCGATGGCAGAAAAGAATGTGTGGAAAGAACATTAGGGCAGAACGTTAGGGATGGAATGGTAAGGGCAGCGGAAGAAGTATGTGGAACGACAAAAAGAGGTAGTAGTAAAAGAAGAGATGCATGGTGGAATGATGAAGTGGTTAGACTACTTGGCCTCTAGTAACGATAAGCATATGAGAGAGAAGATGAAAGAAAGATATAAGCTGCAGAAAGTTCATGCTAAAACATTGATTGAGGAAGTACGTGAAAGGTGTAGAATAGAAGCGGACGAAAGGTTGTCGCACAACTTTAAGGAAAACTCCAAACTCTTCTGGAAAGAGGTTGGAAGGTTCCGGAGTGGTGCGACAGCTTTAAGAATGAACAAAGTGCTTTCGAAAACCAATGACGTCCTCTCAGAAAAATCGGACGTCATGCAGCGATGGAGCGAATTTTATAGAGAAATGTATGCGTGCATATCTTAGTGAAGGATCCGGGGGTGACGCCGTGACTGGCACGCCAGACACGGACCTCGATGACACTGAGATCATTAGCATGAAAGAAATTGAACGTGCGATTCAAATTTTAAAATGTGGTAAGGCTGCGGGACTAGACAGAGTTACTGCTGAAATGGTCAAGTACGGTGGGCCTCGCGTCTGGGACAGCTTTCATCTGCTGTGCAATATGTGCTGCCGGACGGGAGATGTCCCGGATGATTGGCGATCCGCGGTCATTGTGCCTTTATATAAGGGTAAAGGTTCACATTTTGACTGCGGGTGCTATCGGGCGATCAGCTTGACCAGTTTAGCAAGTAAAGTTTACTCGAAGGTTTTGACACGTAGGATGCAAGAGAAATCGGAAAGATTCTTGTGGGAGGCACAATGCGGATTTAGACCTGGAAGATGATGCACGGATCAACCAGTTTTCTCTCAGCATGATCGCGGAAAAGCTTCTGAGTGTTAACCAGAGGATTTTCTGTGCTTTTGTGGATCTGGAGAAAGCATTTGATAAGGTTATAAGGAAGAAAATGTGGGAACTGTTGCCGGAATATGGTGTGGATGGTCGATTGTTAAGGGCTGTGCAGTCACTTTACTATGACTGTAAAGCCTGTGTGCGGGTAGGGCATGACCTGGCACTCATGTTTAGCGTAAAGCGGGCGAAAAACAGGGTTGTGTCATGTTTTCCTGGCTGTTCATAATGTATCTCGACAGCTGTTTACAGAAGCTGAAAAATAGCTGTTTGGGTGTGAAATTGGGTGACATTAAAGTAAATTGTCTGCTGTATGCTGATGATGCAGTGTTTTGCACCATCAGAAGCAGAACTGCAGGCATTAGTCACGTGTATGAAAGAGGAATGTGAAATTAAAGGTCTTCGTTTGAATGCTAATAAAACTAAGGTTCTGGTATTTGAAAAGGACGAAGAGAGAACGAACTGTGGAATATGGGTAAATCAGGAATGTCTAGAACAGGTAAATGAAATTGTATACTTGGGGAGTGCTTTCAGCCGGGATGGAAGTGGTGATTTAGATGTGGGCAGGCGTGTCGCTGCCGGGAACAAAGTCAATGGTGCCCTGAATATTTTAGTCAAAAGGCAAGGCGTAGTGAAGAGTGCACGCCTTGCAATACATAACACATTGTTGGTACCGACTTTGTTATATGGCAGCGAAACCTGGGTATGCCAGAAGAAGCATAAAAGCAAGTTGAATGCAGTAGAGATGCGATCTCTTCGTAAAATGTGCGGCGTTACCATAGCCGACCGAAAGCGAAACGAAGAGATTCGCAATATGGCAGGATTGAAAGATGACCTTATCACAAAAATTGATAGGGACGTACTCCGATGGTTTGGGCACGTTGAGCGAATGAGTGAAGACCGAATGGTGAAGAAAATATATAGCGCGAAAGTAAATATTAAAAGGTGTCGAGTTAGACCGAGACTAACTTTCGAAGACCATGAGAGCAAATTACTCGAATTTGACGAGTCTGTGGCGCAGTGGCTTAGCAATGAGTGGCTGCGCTGGGGGTCGCGGGTTCGAATCCCGCACGCAACAAGTATTTGTATGGCCTACAAGTAGTTGTTCCGGGTCTGGATGTTCGTCCTTGTGCAATTTATGTTTGTAAACTACCCCCACAATACAAGAGAAAATCTTAGTGTAGGGGTAACGTTTTTTAAAAAAAAAAGGGAAGGTCAAGAGTACTCGGATACCTAGACGTGCATGTATGAAGAAGTTAATGAACCTGAAAGAAGCGAAAGAGGTATGTAAGGATCGTGACACTTGGCAATCTGTTCTCTCTGGCTACCCCGTTAGAGATTGTGCGTGAAGATAACATATGGTTGCTAGGTACGTCAAAAGTGAATCATAGGTTAATCATCATTTCGTTATTTCACAACTCTATTGCAGTTAATGTGTGCATAGCCCTTGTAAATTGTAGAATTTATAGCGGCGCTGACGTCGGTGAGTAGTGACAGTGAAGTTAGCTGTTTATGAGTACAAGTAGATGAAGTTAGTTAAATAATGTACAAATTTTCTCCGCGGTATTGCTGAGAAAGTTTTCATGCTTCGTAAATTTGTAATTTTTGACAAAAAGAAACATTAAAAAGTGGAGAAATATTTTATTTTGCGTGGATGTGCATGTGGTTTAGCATCTGATCGGAAAAATAGACTGAAAATGACTTTTATTGACCGAAATTTGCGATCGCAGCGCCTCACTTATGGTATCACTATTTCAGGGACACTGTTTTCTACGGCGATCGTTCTTCTGTTCTCTAACCTTCATGGTATCTAGTAATGGATGAATATACATTTAGGCGATTATATTTCAGGCGAAGGCAATATCGAGCTCAACCCATTCGCAGTAGCGCCGCCACAGCCGTGTCTGACAGAGGCGCCTTCACACTTACGCTCATTAGTTGGCCCCGGCAAGGCTCCACCTTCCACTGCTCAAGAACTCCTTGAAGCCCTAAAGACACGGTACGAATCTATCTAATATTTATTTAAAGGTTATGTTCCAAAATAGAACCCAGTGTACTTACTGTCCAATGCAAATGACGTCATGAATCGACGCTTTACTGGTGATTCGTTCCAAAACATAGGACAGTATATGACGTCATACATGTACGCCATATTGGAAAAGTGTTCGCGATTATTTTGTCATGTTGTGCTCCAAAAATCATTATATCCTCCTAATGGAGATATTATTCAATAATTTTTTGTATTTGAATAAATAAAAACAAATTCTGGCATGTTTCATTCAGCGCAAACACAATTAAAAATTTTTTTATTGTGGCCGGATATCCGACACAATATGGCGGCGGCACGCCATTACAATATAGTGTCAATTGACGACGTCATTTGTATTCGGCAGTATACTGAAAACGTTTCGGAACATAGGGTAAAACACCCAGTAGTCAGCCTTTTAGTGAGGACTAAAATTTGTTTCAATTGTATTTTAAATATTAAGTTTTTAAGAAAAGTTGTTTATTAAATTTACTAAAGAAATTAACAAAAAAATATATTTATAATAGAATTATATAAAAAATCAGTAGTAAAATTATGGCACTTTTCACCAGTAGTCAGCCTCATTTCTCAACAAGTCAGCCATGTCTAGGGATGGGTAAACGCCCGGATTAAAATCCATCGCTGGATTAAAACCCATTTCAGCCCCATAAACGCCGGGCGTTTTTAATAAATGCCGGGCAGAAATTAAATTAATTTGTTTCCTACACTCAGTGTTTAATCGATAACAAAAGAAGTTACAGCAAGGTGAAATACGAACTTAATTTAAATGTTTGTACATAAAAAATCACGTAGGTATTATTAAACAACAAAAAAAGGGAAAAATGACTTCGGTCACCGAAAACCGGTTGTGTGCGGCACGGCAACCTAACGGGGCAAGGGACGCGGGGCGACATTCGTTATCATACCACGGTTCTCTACCCGTTCACTCGAGTATTCTGTTTCTCTGAGTATGCACGTACGCTGCAATTTGTTTTTTATTGTGAAGTGAGTTAACAAACGACCCGGCATTGTTTATTGTGATCTGATCCCGCATACCTCGGCTTTAACTGGTTTTGTCTTCGTAATAAAAGTTGTAAGTATAAAATGTTCAATATTTATAATAGTGACGATTATATTTTTCAACTAAATAAAATAATTTAGAATCGAAGTTACTTTATAAAATCTGACGTTTTTTAACTATGAAAGCTATTTATTGGTATCTGCTGAGAGGAATCTAATACAAAAAGCATCCTTGTACACACGTACACGTACGTTCACATTTTGTCTAGAGACAGGTGTTTAGACATTTTCGGCTTTGTGTTTACGTGTACTGTATGTGGAACATGGTAATTTTTTCATGATTCCAGAGAAACGAGTACAAGTTTTAAATAAATAAATACTTGGAAAAATAGTGTGTGAAATAGGGAATCATAGGATATAAATAAAAAAATAATCCTTCCGTGTAATTTTAAAGAAATCTAGTGTTAACTTCTACATACTACTATCTAAATATTACGTACGTAATTATATTCAATGCTATTAATTTGGTATAAACAAATATTTTTCTACCAATTTAAAAAAAAAATAGAGATTAAGTAGATTAAGTTACGTACCTTTTAACTGTAGGTAGTTATTAAGCGATATAAACTGTCACGTGATATCACTTATTAACGTACAAATGGACTCACTTCACTGCTAAACAATTTTAAAACAAACAAATACTGGAAGAACAAAACTTTTCTCCAACGTCATGTCACCGAACCGAAAACGCGTAAGTAAACAAAAAACGTGCGCTGGCAATGGCGTTCCCAAATGTACGTTAAGAAAAAATAACATGCTGTAAAAAATATTGATTCTGTTTCATTCATTTATTTTAACTTCGTTAAAGTTAATATTCATTTACGCGTGAAATTAATTGCCATAACTTTTTAGACGTCTACCCACTATCTGAAACTATGAGATTGATTCGTCGATGGTCGATCTACTTTTTTGTATGCATTGTGGTGTCCTACCGGATTTCGCCAAATTAATTCGAGTCACAAATGACGATTGCTTGACGTATTATGTTTCGATATACGAAAGATTTTTAATTCATTAAAAATAACTGGAATAAAAAAATTGACTATATTAGTACGTCTATTAAGGAAAACTGTACAGTCGGCAGCACATCAAGTTAAACAGTTGAACTGCGATAACAGCTTTTATTATGTATGGCATAAAGGCGGTCTCAACATCAACATGTATAGTCTGATGTATATCTAAAATGGAATGTATGGTAGAAGTTTACATTAGATTTTTTGAAAATAGAAAAGAATTCTTTTTTATTTATATCCTAAGATTCACTATTTCACACGCTATTTTTTCAAGTATTTATTTATTTCAAACTTGTACCCGTTCCCCTGGGATCGCCATGCATCGCCAGAAACGTCAAGTTAGCAGCCCACATAGAGACCCTAATATCTTAGCTTGTATTAAAGCACTCCTTTTGAAATTTTGCATTACTTTTACCAGTAAAAGCATTGACGATAATTTTATACTCAGTATTAAGTATCTTAAATTTGTTTTAGATAATCATGGTGGGGAGACCAAAAACTACCCAAGTCTGGTGTCATTTTAGAGAAACGGCTGATGGACCTACTTGCAAATATTGCGAGAAGCATTATCGTAGAGCGCATTTGGCAAAAATGAAGAGACATTTAATACAATGCATCAACTGTCCCGAGGAGTGGAAAAGGCAGATAAGAGCCACTGGATCTGAAGGAAGGAATACTCAAAATAAAGAAAATGAGAATCCATTGGAGCCAAATGTACCAAGTGAGAATGCTCAGAACTCTACAGATTTGCCACAAACACCGCTGTCAGATGGAATAAAGGAAAACCTCCATACATTACTAGCTAAAGCTGTATATGTTACCGGAACACCACTTTCAATGGTCGAGCATCCTCTTTGGATAAATTTCTTCGAAAAACTTCAACCACAGTACAAGCTGCCGTCAAGAAAAACAATTTCTACGACTATTTTAGAAAAAACGTATAACAGCATGCACCGTGAACTGAAAGAAGACTTGATGACCCAAAAGTGTTTGCATCTGCTTCTGGATGGCTGGTCAAATTGCAGGAATGAAGGTATTATTAATATCTTAATATCAAAGTCGGAACCCATATTTGTTAAGAGTATAGCCTCAGAAGATCATCGGCACACAGGCGAATATATTTACAATATAATTTCGGACGTTCTAAATGAATATGGTCCACAAAAATTTGTCAGCCTCATTGGTGACAATGCGAGTAATGTGCAGAGGGCATTCCGTATTGTCAAAGAAAATTATCCTCACATAGTAGGACTCAACTGCAGTGCTCACACACTTCATCTGCTGTGTAAAAATATTATGAAAATCAATACGTTAAATGCTTTCAAAGATATGGCTACAAACATAATAAAAACCATTCGACAAAGTCAGGTCCTAACATCTTTACTGGCAAAAATCGTGAAAGAAAAAAATGTTGGCGAAAGTTTAAAATTGCCCTGCGATACCCATTGGGGAAGTCATTGTTTATGTTTTAAAAGCATGGAAAACACTAAAGTGGCCCTTCAAACCTTGGCTGTCCACGAAAAAGCCACAAACATACCTCCGGAAGATAAATCAACATTATTAGATGAAGATTTTTGGACAATGTTGAAGCAATGCCGCCAGATACTGGAACCCATCAGAGAGGCTATAATATGTCTAGAATCCAATGACAAGAACTTGCACAAAGTTTTTTTAACTTTAAAAAACATGAAATCTAAGTTACTTTTCTGTTTGCCAGAAGTAACAATAGTTGAAAACGCTGTCAAAGAAAAGATTCTAGAGAATGTCGATCAGAGAATTCAAATGTGCCTCAAGCCCATACATTATGCGGCATACTTATTAGACCCTGCTGAACAAGGAGCAGAGCTTGATCAGAATCAAAATTTAGAAGCCATGGAATTCATTTCCGAGGTAGGACAAAGCATTGGATTAACCGTGATGCCAAATTTAGCGTCCTACAGATCAAGATCGGACTTTTGGAACCGAAGATTTTTATGGGAAAATGTAAAGGAAATAAAACCAACAACTTGGTGGAGTGGCTTATGCGCGTCCACTGCATTAAGCAAAGTGGCTGTGCGAATCCTCACGGCACCTTGCACTTCTGCTGCAGTTGAACGGTCATTTTCTACACACAGCCACATTCACAATAAAAAAGAAACCGGCTGACGAGTGAGAGAGCAGCCAAAATTGCCTTCATATCCTACAATTGGAATTTGCTCAATAAGAGCAATTTGGAAAAAGATGATGACTATGAGGAATGCATGTGTGTTACACCTCCGACTATAGGCACACATGTACATCGAACGGATAGTACAATGGACACTTTTGACTCACCTCAACCATCGACCTCAGGCACTGCCACCATTGAATTTTTAGATTGTGGTCAAATTTCAGACTCAAGTAACAGCGATGACTGAGTCAATTTATTTTCAATTTGAATTTTACTTATTAAGTTTGATACTGTAAAGAAATGTGTCCTTATCTAATTTTTGCAACATAAATGAACAGTAAAAATAATAAATATTCCATTAATCAATACTACGTTTTGTTTTTTATTTAATATCAATACAATTCTCCATCTACTTATTTTCTTCAAATACAAAATATCACAGTCTTTCGTCTAAAGTACTTCCTTTTATTATTGTTTATCTCTACATGGTAAGTCCTGTCAAGCAAAGCGATAGAAAAAGAAAGATATTCCAGTGAGTCGCGATCGCGAGGCGAGGATGTGAAAAGGCGCGCGCGAGCACGCAGCTCGCCTCGCGTACTCATGCATGCCAAAAAATCCCTGCTCCGGAAGCGACCACGCGAGCCACAAGGCGAGCCGCGAATGTAGCTGAACTATTAGGTATTCAATTTAGGTATCCGTACACTGACATTGCCTACAGACTGTAGGTAAGTTGGTTGTTGGTCACTCACTAAATAAATCAATCTCAGCGTATTCGTTTCCGCCTTTTTGCAATTCATAACTAAGCAAAGAAAGTTTAAAGTACTAAAAGCGAGAATTGAAGTCGAACCCGACTTAAGTATGTGTATTTTTTAATCGTGTTCTACTCATTAATTAATTTTCCAAATAAGGTTTTGCAAATAAAAAATAATTTGTTGTAATTTTCATTTATGCCCGCCAAAATGGGCAGAAATCCATTTCTGCCCGATTTAAATCCTTTCCGCCCGATTAAAACCCATTGGGCAGAAAAGACAAAAACCCATCGCCCATCTTAAGCCATGTCTTACCCTGTAGTCAGCCTCTCACTTATTCTTGCATATTTGACATAAAAATTCTTTATTATATATATTTTCATATATTTCCCCAGTGAATTCAGTACAGTTCAAATGATACCATGCAAGGAAATTGACACATCCAATATTTTTTAAGTCATTAATTTCTGTATCGCTATTCAATTCTTCACAGTTGCATCTTATTCTGTTTATTGTACACGTATTTTTCTTCCTATTTTTACTATTTTTCGTAGTCATAGCTTGTATTAATTGCTCTTCTTTGTATTGGTGGATTGGTCTTTTTGACATTATGGAATTCTAAAACAAATGATATTCACGCTA